ACTTTCATCCGCCCTTAATTTGCTTCCTGGTAGAAACATTTTTCCTGTGGACATTTGTGTTCATTTGATGTTAATTATGACCTTTAAGCATTAAAAAAAAAAAAAAAAAACAAATCCCCTGGCAACAGCCTTTATATACAAAGAGAAGAGCAGGACAGACTGCGGGCCGAGTTTCCACATAACCAAATCTCTTCAAGAACAGCGGCAGACCATTCCAGCTAAATCGTAGCTTTATTGCAAACACTCTTTGCAAGTCTGACTCAAAATAGCACTGAATGACAGGGGAGGCAAAACACCCAGCCCAAGGTCATCCAGAACCTCCCCGTCTCAGCCAGCTTCACTCAAGTGCCTTTGTGGAGAGCCTGGGCCCTGTGGCAGCTTCTTGCCAAGCTCCTTTCCATGGGAGCCACGGAAACCCCACTGGGTTTCGTGGGATCCAGACCCATTTGGGGACGTGGGGGACAACTACCCATGCCAAGAGAAGGGATCTAGAGAAGGGATCTGTAGATCCCTCTGGATAACCGGAGCCGCAGCCCCGGCCAGGCTCCAGCTTGTGGCAGCTCTTTCAGAGCCAGGGACCAAGGTCAGGCCGTACTGATGCCTTCCGGTAGAAAGGAATTTACTGAAATCATTCTGCATTTCCATCAGGCTGGAAGAAGCTGAAACAATAACTGAAACCCACAGCAAACCCTGGGATTAGCTTGTCACTCTTCCATCCCTTTGCATCCATGAGTCAGCAGCCTCACACGGATGACACTGCTACGTGGGAATCGCTGGAGAGGCCTGCCCGTACTGACGTGGGCACAAAGCACAGCAAAGCCAGCAACCTGCACTTGCTCTTTGCGATAACCCTTTCTCCTCTTTCTTTTCAGTGTTTCTGGGACCTTCCCTGATCCCAGCCTCCTGAGGAGGTGACAGATCTGCTACCAAAAATTGCTTCAAATAAGAGGAACACAGGAACAACTCAAAGGATGCATCTACTCTTCCATCCACAACACAGATTTTGCTCTGAGCAGCAGGCAGCTACGAGCACGTCGGCCTGCACGGAGCTCCACGTCACGGGGTGTCACCCCGGCCGAACTGACAGGACGCCTATGATGCCTGTGAGTAGCCTGCGGACAAGGTTGGAAGGAAGGCTGGACTAGATGATCTCCAGAGGTCCCTTCCAACCTTGGCCATTCTGTGATAAGCTTGGGCTCAGCACCCCCAAAAGCTTCTGCTGACTTCTGCCTTCACTTCACCTAATTCCCAGCACTGCTTCAGTCCGGGGCTGAAAACACTTCATTTTCACTGCTTAGATCCCATAAAACCTAGAGAAGACTGAGGAAAGCAAAGAAAAAGAGCACGTAAAGCAGATTTCCCTCCCTGCCAGGAGGAGAGAGGCCCCTAATTGGGGGCAGCGGCTCTGAAAGCCCTTTGCACTGGGAGGACACTGCAAAGCCAGCAGCCCGTGGCTGCAAAGCCAGGCCTTGAGCCCTGAGCGCTGAGCTAGAAAGGTCAGCACATCAAAACAAGCAAGAAATTGTCTTTACATGCTCATATATTCTTCAATATTTTGTTGTTACTTTCACATTTGGAGAAGCCTGGCTATGAAATGCAGCAGTTTCTCACGGCAGTGCTGTACTTAGGGAGCTGCAAAACTCCCCGCTGCTTTTTGCTGCTGATCCCCTGCTCCATCCTTCTGCATCGTAAATAATCAGAGCAGCTCCTGCCGTCTGCACTGTAATTTGTATCTAGTTTCTAACTGGATTATGTGTAGCTGCTCCATGAGAACCCATTTGAGGAGGCATACAAATAATCCATCTGTATTCCTTCATCCGGCCTGCTCATACGTACTTCCAAACAAGCTAAATTAATGCTGGGCTTTGTCTACTTGCAATCTCATCTCCATCCTCTATAGCAAATATCTTACGTAGCTGCATTTTCAGCTGCCATCTGAAAGTAATGTTTCATTATGCAATGACCTGGCTTATATAATCTCTTCCAAACCCTAAACTTGTTTAAATTCAGTCCAGAGACTGAGAATGAGCTACAGGCATTCAATCAAGTTGACTTTGAGGACTAATACTTCCAGTTCAAAAATGATCATCTCTTTCATCTTACAAAAATGACACCTGATATATCATAGCAAGCAGAAACATCAACAATGCCTTTAACAGCACATTTTGTCACCGAACCAGGAGCAATTTTGTGAGTTCACATACCAGTCCAATGAGGTGATTTAATGCAATGTCACTGAAAAGTCATGGGCATCTGCAGGCAGAACTGCACGAAACCCACCTTCGGGGCACCTGGTATCAGAAGAGCCCAGTTCCAGCCGAGACCCACTGCCCGTGCACACAAGGGCTCTGCCACCAGCTTCTCTCCATGCTTGCTTCTCTTGGCCTTACATCACGCTCACTCCTGTGTTAGTGTCTTAATAAATTAACCGTTCCCTGCTGCTTAATTTAACAGAGAAAATACTTCCAGTAACATCAATAACTCAAACTTGCTGCTGTAATCATTCATCCCCTTCTGGTGTCCAGAGTACAGTGCAGAGAACTGTTCACAGTTAATACCTGTCAAACCTAACTCTTCATTCTGTTCATGAATTGCCTGAAGGCTTCGATTGCTGTGCATTTTCTTGGCTTTAGTCCCTGAATATTTTCTGAAAAAGCAACTCAATTTATTGCTCATGAACTGCTTCCAGTAATTAAAGAGTGCAAAAAAATATGACCTGTTTGATCATGAGCACACTCATGTTGTAATACATCTTCCACAGAAAGGCCTGGTACAACAGCTTTTGCATCACATTCCTGGTGGGAATGCTCACAATTCCAGTTACTAAACTCACCTGGTTCCCTCAATGTTCATTTAAAAAGGAAACCTTTTTTTTTTTTTTTTTTCCCCAGAGACCTGGCTCATTGGAAGTGCTGTGGAAAGCAAATGCCCAAACCCTCAGCCCAAACCCATGCAAAAGCAATCCAAAGGAAGGTGCCAGATTATTCTCAGTGTTATCCGTTTCCAAGCCTGGAAACACCACCCACATTCTTCTTTTTTTTTTTCTTGGCCAGCACTTCTTTTAATAGGCCTCCTTTTCAATGAAGAGTGAGTTGTGCTGATGCTCCAGCACGGTGTGCTTCTGGGAATCCCACTTCACGTCTGCTCAGCTTGCAAGTGAAACCACACGTGGGGAGGTCCCTATGCCTGTCAGCACCCTTGACTCATAAACTACCACCAGCCAAACCCACCGGGTCTGATGGATTTGGTGAATGCAACCACAGGCAGCACTTTCTCCTGTGTTTGGAGGTTAAAGAACAATTTTACTAGTGAGTCACAAAAGAGCAACGATCTCTCCCTGGCACCTTTTTAAAAATTGTTTCCTCCTCACACTGGTGCTAATGATGAGCAGTAAAACGTTCTCACGTTCAATTGCCTGAGAGGACCAGGCTTCAAGAAAGCCACAGGGAAGGTTCCCAATGATCTTTTTTTCCCCCGCCGTGCTTACCCTGACTAAAGCCACGCTTAAGCTTCCCAATTTCCCTAACGCATCCGACAGGCCTTTTTCCCCAACACCCACCTCGCCAAGGCAGGCTGCTCCCCAACAGAAAACCATAAGCAGCTACAGAGGAACGTAAGACAAAAATCAAAACCATTCCTTAAATAACTGTTCCTAAAATACTGTTCCTGCCCGTCATGTCCACTTCTCATGTATCCCAAGAGACTCAAAATCAGTATTTCTGGAGCAAAAGCCTCTGCCTGAAACCATTAAATCTTCCTTGCTTCCCAAGCACACGAGGACCACATGTTCTCACTCTTCACAACCACCTTTCTCCTACTAAGCACCTCACCTCACAAGAAGAACATCTCAGATTCACTGAACATCATCTGCTCCTGCAGCAGTAAGAGCTGGGACTACCACACTCAGTCCTTCAGCAAGCAGAGGGGAGGTGAAAAGAGATTTCCTCCTTTGACCCTTGAATCTTTCTGCTTCAGAAGCCCTCACAAGTTAGTCCCCCGTGCGATGCTGGTGTCTACTGCTATAGGAATAGGAAGGAGTCCAAGGAGGCTATCACCTGATGTTTCGTTTTGCAAAGATAGATGGAAGAGATGGATTACACAGGGAAGCTCTCACTGTGCATGCAATTATCTGATAAAAGTCTATTTTAGAATACGAATCTCAGGAGGAAGAACATGCCAAACTCTATGTTTCACACCGGGAAGCTGCGATGTCCCTTTAAAAATAGGGAGTAAAATTAATTAAAAATGATACAGAAGAAGAAACAGATCAACATGGTGCTTTCACTCATGTTGAGTTTAGGAGAATGAGGAGGGAGAGGTCACCTGCCCTGGTCAAGCCAGGGCATGAAATCGGGTAAAAAAATATCCCTCCTGATTTAAAAATAGTTACATCTGCAAACAGCTGGACTAGTTCAGCCACGTTTCCCATGCCTCATAGCCAAATTCCCTCATGTGCAAAATCTAGGGAAAACATCCCTTCTCATCCCCCTAGGATCAGGTGTCCAACACAGGAAGGAGGAAAAGCTGGAAGGCCCTCAGGTCAGCAGCTTTCGCGCAGACCCAAGGAGAGCCTTTTAAACTGCGAAAACTCCAACTATTTGTACGCTTAAATGAAACCACGAGAGGCCCAAGGCTCATCCTCATCCACCTTAAGTGCTGTTTTGCACGTAAACACAGCCCACTATGAAATAAAGGGAACCTTGGAGGACCAAACGTGAAGATGCAGCCTCGTAACATTGCTCCAGGCTCCATGTCTTGCCTGAACCACGAAGGACAGCGCTCGCCTGCCTCGACAAAGAATAAATGCACACCAAGAGAAACAAGACTGGATCCAAACAAGTATGGCAAGTTTACTGAAATAACATTTAAGGCATCTGACCTTTTCAACAATACAGTTCCTTTTGGAGCAGGACCTTCTCACAAGCAACTTGCCCCAGCTCTAACACACTTTTGCCCAAGTCTCACTGGTTAAATTTGGGTTAAATCACTTTAAAAACAAGGGTCAAAGTTGTTTCATTGCTTTACTCTCTCAGTAATGTGCAACATGAACATAATAGTGTTATTAAGAAGTCAAAAATAACTTAACACAGTAGCTATATAAGGTTCTCCAATGGTCAAACTTTCAGCAATTCTTTTTTGTTAAGTTCAGAAAATTAGCATATTTGTTAATCAAATTAATTTAAAAAGTAGCTTTTCAAAATAAAAGCAATGCTTTAAATAAATATAGTCTTTTTATAAACATAAAACACTTAGTCCTGTTAAAGGCAACACAAATACTACACTTGAACACAGTACTTCGGATTGAAAGGAACGTTGTGAACGGGACACTGCGATGGTCAAGGACGCCTTGCTTTGGGACATTCTTGGTCTCCTTTCCACAGCAGCACAACAAAAAAAGGCATCCAATTCTCAAAATTGCCCTAAACATTTGATGTGTGTCAAGACATTTACAACTGATGCACAAAAATGCTGGTACCCTGTTTTGTTGGTTATTTTCCAAGCTATTTCTCTCTGGATTTAGCAGCTCGGCAGCCTTGCTCTGAATTTCTAGCCCGGCACAGCTCGCAGCTGCGAGGACTGGTGACCAGGCCCTGCTTGCTTCATCCAACGGACTCCACCAGGATCATGAATCCGTGCAACAAAAGCAAGATCCGACCCCTCACCAGCTTTCCAAAGCCCACAGCGTGTGAAATCCATGGAACCTCCTTTCCAAAACACCAGCCCCGGTGGGTGCTGCAGGTCGCCTTCCGGGACAGCGGCCACGGAGCAATATTCACAGCTCCCACTGTAACTAAGGGGCTGACTAGCTACGCTCCTCACAAATTAAATGCCTATCAGCAAAGGCGGGAGCTGCCCTGCAGATCTAAAACACAGCGATGATTTTCTGGAATGAAATAAAGTAGCTCATTCTCCTACAGATTATCGGCATGTATTCCAAAGTGGCGATTGCTAAAATTCAGTGAAATGTACATCTAAACAGAGTCTATCCAAAAACTCTGACCACTTAGTGTCCTGCTTAGTTTTAATTGTTCATTAAAAATCATGTTCAGGAACTGCAGCATACATACACTGTTTTTGCCCTCACAAAAACAGCCACTGGTGACATTTCTGTTGGATTTTGTTTGTTTCAAACAACGTAACAGTAATGTAACCTATAAGTTAAAGGCTAAAAGCTAGAGAATAAAATAAAGCACAAAACTGGTACAAAATACTCTCTATTTGTTTTGATCTTCAGAAGAAACAGGTCTCTTCAAAGGTGACAAGAGAATAAATTAGCAAATGGCTACAGTAATGCATGAAAGGGCATCTACAGGATTTGCACGTGTGTACACGGACGCGCTCGCATACACACAGCTTGGCTTCGTTAGGAATCTCACTATCAGAGAGTTTAACTTCGATAAATTAACTGCATTAAAATACTGACATCGTGAGAATTTTAATACTATCAACACCCTGCAGAGGGCATTCCTGTGTGAATTTTTTAAACGCCTTAAAAAAATAGTTTAGAGTTATTGAAATCTGTGACAGCCACGAGAGCTCTTTCTTTCTTCTCTCACAGCCTCCCGTTCTCGTCTCCAGTGTCCTTCTCCTGTATGGCCTCCAGGCAGCGCTTGGCCTTGGCGTCCGGGGGCGCGCTCCCAGCCCGGCTCAGCCCGCACGACAAGCACGCCAGCTGGATCTGCTTCATGTTCTCCAGAGCCTCGCTCTTGGCGTTCTTCAGGAGGTCCCCTTGTCCCTGGGAACACACAGACACGAGCGGAGAGTTAGGGATTGCACCGGATCACAGGTGAGACCGCTGCTCTCGTGGCCCTGGATGCTTGCGCGGGGTGGAAGACTCGTGGCTCCTGCAAGTGTCCAACACAGGGAGCCTGTGGGCAGGGGGAGGCCAGGCCACCAGGGCCCCAAAGCTCGGCCACCACCAGCCACCGGGGCCCCAAAGCACAGCCACCAGTGCAAGCTGCTCGCAGAGAGGCCATCCCACAGGGAGCCCATCCATCAGGGTCGAGGCGAGCTCACTACGAGGGGGTCCATCCAACCTGTAAGTACCAGGAAAATGTCTTATGAAAGTCTTTATTAATAAGTTCAGAAACGCAAGAAGGAATATCTATAGCATCTGTCATTTCAGTATTCCATAAAGAAGGTTCTGCAATAAGAAAACAAAAGACAGAGATGTTTCTCATTATTAAAATGCAGCGATGTTAAGACCTTGAGCTGCTCTTCTCCCTGTGTCACCTAAGCACAGCGTCAAGCACAGCACTATACACAGCTGCTTATACATGTACTCACACAGAGCACCTCTGCCGACTGGAAACGCCGCATCTGCATCCGCACAACCCGCCTCGACCTCCCGCCTACCACGGACGCTCTACAAAGCGTCAGAGGAGGCCACAGATGTCACAGCAGGACCCCAGGCACGTCCAGAGGGTGACACAGGCTCCCCTGCCCTTTACAAGGAAACGAGCCACGATGGGGGAGCCAGCGCGGCGCCTTCCAGCAACGGGAATGTCCCTCGGCTCCGCCATTCCGCCAAAACAAGAGGAAGAATTTATCCCCCGTGGATGACCACAAGGCCCTTTGTGCCAGTGCCTGGCACCAGGTTTAGGGCACAGCAGCCTCCGAGGCCCCTGCAACAATATTTTCACTGAAGGAACAATGGGAGCTTGCAAATCCCCCGGCGCTGGTAAACACCACGCGGGGACAACGGCGGCCGGAGACGGCGTCCCGCGAATGCCACCGCGTCAGCTCCCGATGACGGCAGCTTGTCCCTGCTGAACAATGCAGATCAGCACAGAAGGGAGGAATGCGAGTTAACGCTGGAATAACAACAAGCACTGGGAGTCAGCGCGGAGCTGCGCGGTCGGGGAGGAAGCACTTTCGAAGAGATTTGTATCTCAACAGCATGACAGTTATGGGAATACACAGACAAATAGCTTGGAATCTACGGAGCAGACAGAGTTTAGGCAAACAAACCAAGAATAAAATTTATGCAGCACATATTTCACATAGCTGTGATTTTGCTTTCAGGACAAAGGTTGAGCTTATGGCTAAAGGCAAGAGGCTGCATCCAAGAGCTCCATCTCCGCTGGTGGCACAGCACGGATAATGCTCCGCAGCTGACACAACAACAGCCTCAGCTAGGTCTATGTCACCATCCTTGTTTATTCTTCTCAGGTGAGTACAAGGCATGGCAATCTATCAGGGTATCCCATAAACCGAATCTCTGGTTAAGGTCTCTCCGTGAGACTCATTTAAGGAAAACTGCTCAGGCTTCCATACATCCTTCTTTGGAGAAGGAAAGGCTGAGTCTGCCCTGCCAAGACGAGCACCAAGAAGCCACGGTACTTCACACCCACTGTGACAGTACTGAGCCATCAGCTCATTCCCTCATGCATATTCTGATTTCACATTTAAATAACCAGGCAATTCACACAGATTACAGGGAGCAGCTTTAGGCTGCGGCAATGCATGATGCATCTTCTGGTTCCAAGAGCAAAACTGCACTTCCTTAGCATCCTTCCAAGATTCTGGAGGCATTCTTATTTCACAGTGCTTCTAAAAATGGAAATAGGCTTATCAAAATAGAGTGTAATTCCATTCATGTGCAGACCAATTAATCTCCATCTTGGCTTCCTTGTAATTTTTTTTTTATATTTTTCAACAGCTGGTTCATTTGACCAAGGAGCAAAGGAAGGAGCAAAAATGATTTTGAATCATCTGTCACAAGAAAACTAATGACAAACCAACCCCCAGTGACAGAACTGTCATAATTGTAGAGACACCATAAAAAATATCTGTGGGCATGCTCTGTTTGAAAAGCCATCTGTTTGCTTTGAAAAACTGGCTGCGAGCGTAAGCCACTTAAGAAAAATGTCACCAAAATTGTGTCAACGCCTTAGCAAACTAAATACTGGAGAGAATCTGGAGTAAATTTCCGAAGTTTTACTACACCATGGCAGCCTTCACGGAGCACAGTTGTGAAGATGGGCATGCAGAGCCCGAGCCATTCGCTCTTACAAAGCGAGCATCTCTCCTGCAGACACAGTGCCGTTTGCCTCGGTCCTTTCCAGCATCTATCTTCCTTCTGCTATGGGTATCGTCAGCCTTCCTGAAAAGGAATACTAATGAAAACATTAAACTCAGCATTTGGCAGGACACTGAATTGAGCCAAGGGATTAAACGAATGTTGTCCTTGAAAAACTGATCAAGGGGCATATTTTAATTAAGAGCTAGGGAATATATTTAATGTTAGGTTCCAGATACCTGACTCCTATTAACCATGTAACTTCTGCATAATGTTCTACAAATAATACAGCTTGTTAAGAAAGGGTAAGATTATAAGCTAAGCCTGTACCTTGACAGGCTAATACTACTTAGAACAGAGGAAATTTTGACACGGCTTTGAATATTGCTCAGTTTCAGTGATGTTCCAGCAAGTCTTTAAGAAGGGTAAGAATAATTTTCGACATATATTGGCAGTGGCCACAGACAGGGAGAATTCTGTATGTTGTTTATTTAGGATTTTTGCAAAACCAAAGAAGAACTTCTGAGTCAAGCCCACAGCTCATTATATCCAACATCCCAGACCCTGAGGCTGTGGAAATGACAGGAAGAGGTGATTTAGGTGAGCGTGACCATTTTGGGATGGCTTCCACTACACTTTTTTATATATGGTATATATATATTGGTCATAAATATATTGACATGTCTATCTACGTGTGTTCCCAGAAACAATCCTCTACATTTATTTAATGATCCTTTGCTTTTCCTGAGCACCTACTCGGGCCATCAGCAGTGGAGTTTCAAAGCCCCAGATCTGCAGCAAGCTCCATGGAGGGATGAAGAGCCCCGGCAGGCACGGGGACTGCCTGGTACCCAAGCCTTTCTTCCCCACCACTGAAGGAGAAATGGTAATGAGTGCCTGTGAAGGCAGAGGAGTGCTTATCTCCTGGCAGACACCTGCTCTGGATGCCTGTTAGGGGAGCTGCCCTCCTAATTCCTCAGGGATCGCATAAACAAACAGTAAATAAGGGATCAGAGTTCCTCTTCTGCCTGTACCATACCATGATATTATAAATATGTTTGTGTGTGTATATATATTGTGTATATATATTTTTATATATATATATAAATATATATAAATATATATAAATATATATATATTTCTCAGGGAAATAAGCTTTTATGTTATTTAAAACACACAAAAATCACCACCCCCAAACCCATGAATGGTTGGCTGCAAAAGCCAGACGCAACCAAATAAAACAGCCGTAAGGGCCGAGTCTCTTCACCTGGCCCAATCTTTACATTTCAGATGTAACACTGGTGAAAGGGCTGCACAGGGTGATCAGAGCTGAGTGACCCTGAAAAGCCAAATGCTGGGGAATCATTATGCTAGTCCAATAATCTCTGTGGAGGCCGCAGTTACAGCAAGGGGGGCAGTTTCAAAGTGTTGCAGTGGGAATTTAATTCTGTTTAATATTAATAGAGAAGGCACACAATTAAATGGTCACACATTGCTTTGAAAATGTAATCCTCAGGAGGCAATAGTTAGTAAAATATGCAACTGCTATGTTAAATTTATCGCAAAAAAAGCAGATCCTTTTCCACATCTTCTTCAGAGTTAAACATGGCAACGATTTGATGTGAATTTAATTACTATGTACACAAGTTTCAGAACACAGGGCTCAAAACAGACCGCATGTTAATGCAGACTTAGAAAATCCTCTTCATTACAACTGGATATCAACAGCTTGTTTCTACCTGTCTGAAACCAGGAGGAGTTCTGCCACAGAAGGAGCTGCTCCAGGCTCCAGGACACCCCTTCCTTCCCTGGGAGACCGCCTGCCTAAGCAGATAATTCCTCGCTTCATCTTTTCACTGTTTCATGAACCTGCAGGATGGACGTTCATTCCATGCTTTCCTACCAGCCTCTGCACAGCAGGGCCGAAGGGTTCAGCAAGACAAAACAAAATCAAGCTCGTTTTCCCAGGAAAAACACTCAGAGCAAGGCAGTGTATTTCCTAATTGCATGGCTACCTACATGGGGGAAAACAAGGGCTTTTCCCACACGTGTCTTGGAAATGAAGCCACACTTACAAGCAAGAGCAGCACCCCACAGACATTATTTTGTCCAGACGCGCTGCAGCGAGACCAATGTGCTACCTCAGCATCCTCCTGCCTACGTTGGAGATAACTGCTAGGCAAAGAGCTAAGGAGGAACCATCTCTGACACCACTGTGCTTACAGAGCAGTCCCTTTGCTAGCGCACTCCGCTGTGAGAGCCAGGAACAGCTCCAGCAATGGTCTGTACATCCGGTAAAACCCGCACGGAAACTCCAGAGCAACCTGGGCGGGAGCTCCCTGCTCAAACCCAGAACTGTCTCTCAACAGCTTAAGTGAAATCGGGCAGGAATCTGGATGTTCACCTCTGTGGAGCCTATTCAGGCCCCAGCTGGATCCTGTGCTCAGCAAGTTCCAATGGATTAATCAAGTCCCTTTCAGAGGACTTGGGATGGATTTCTGCAATGACAGGAGGTGTTCAGTTGCCACAGCAAGGGGCACTGGTGATGTCATAAAAATAAAGTAAAACGATAAATAAATAATAGGATAAATAAAAGCGTGAATTTTGAACACTGGGATATGTTGTCTAGAGGGGTTGTGGAGTGTCCATCCTTGCAGAAGCTCCAAACCCCTTGTGACAGACTCCTGAACAACCTGCTCTACATGATCCTGCTG